ACCCCACCGCCCTCTCTATTTCTTTCATAAACAAACGTAAAGTGAAAGCCTCCATTCTCTCTTTTTTCCTCTTACAAGAAGCTCACACTCAATCCCCTGTTCATTTTCAATCTCCTTCACAACAAAATCAAGAATTGCCATGAAAGACAGAGGCAAAGCTGCAGCTACAGAAGCCATTAATGGCGAAAACACAAAAATTTCAGATTTCAATTACTCTGTTTCATCAGATATCCCCTGTATGAAACACCCAAATTCATCCCCAATTGGGATTTGTTCTTCTTGTCTCAAAGACAAATTATTCAATCTAATTTACTCCGATCAATTCTTCTCCGACGATACAGAAACAAATTCTCCTTCTGTTGAAGTTGGAAGTGTTGGGAGGATTTCATTTCTGCTTGAAAATGAAAAACAGAGCAAAACAGAGCAAGTAATCTTGCTGAGGAGCAGCAGCAACAGTGTTGAAATCAAGAAGAATCGTAACGGGTTTTGGAAAATCAAGAGATTTTTCAAGAAAAATAGTGAAATTTCAGGTCCCATTGAAGGAGTTGTTTCAAGATCAAGATCACTCTGTAGCTTCAGAGGTGGTGGTGGTGGTGATGATGGAAGCAGTGATTACAGATTTTCAAGTGCAAAAATCTCTGATGTTACTGGTGGTTTATTATTTGATGACTTCAAGAATCACATGAAAAAATGCTCGGACTCTCCAAAAATGTTGCCGAACCTTAAAAAAAACACTATTTTTAAAGGATCCGATACAACATTTTTAAAGAATCCGAGCAACAGAACTACTATGATTGATGATGATGATGATGGTGATTCAGGTTTTATAGATTTGAAACTTGATTTATTATCAGAGCCAAAATTTGAACATTTTTCAGAATCTGGAAATTTGAGAGGTGGATCTTGTAGAATGAATGAATATGACAGAATGATGAAAAAGGGTAAAAATGGAAAAGGAAACAGAGTATGGAAATGGATTTTCAAGAAAAGTAAAAGAGATGAAATTAATAGTAATTTGATTATTAAGTCTTAGTAATTTTAGATTTGCAATAATCTTGTTTTTTTTTAGTACTGATTTGGTTACTTTTGTTGTTAGTAAGCAAAGTAAATATACAAACTTTACCTTTACTTTTGTCATAGTATTGTTCTGTTACTATCTGTTTTTTCCCCTTATTTTCTATTATGGTTTGTATTTTCGTTACGTCTTTTTCTAAATTGATTTTGTTATTGAGTCAATGGTCTATATAAAATAATTTATTTATCTCAATTTTACGATAGATGTAAGATTTATGTACACTATATTCTTTTTTGATCTTATTCAGTGAAACTGCACTGAATATGTTGTTGTACCTTTGATTTCTTTTAATTTTAGTTTACTTCCATTTTTCTTTTAACTATGGTTTAATCTTTTTCTATATGCTTTAGTTTTTCTAGTTGGTACATATAAAAAGATGGTCTCTTTTTCTTTTGCCAAAGTATGTTTGTTGGTGTGTATGGATGTCTCGGATTTGAGCTTTGAAAAAGATTTGTTTTTGGTAGGAAGTATTTTCTCTTTGGTAGGTTTTATGCGACGCGAATATGAATTAATGATTCGAAGTGAATATAAAAAATCAGATCAGGTGCAGAGGTGGTATATATATGAATTTGGCAGAATCTAATGATTTTGGTCGAAATCATTATTAAGTTAAAAAAGCTAGTAAAGAGTGTCAAACACAACTTTGATGTAAATAGAAGTCCTTTTTTCGTTTATTGAGAGACTAGATGACAAAATATATGTTTTAAAATAAAATTAAGAATTTAGTTATTAATACTTGGAATCATGATCTAGATTTTAAAATTCATAAAATTCATACTCTGACTTCACTTTTGAAGCGAATGGAAAATAAAAAATACATTTTGTTTATTAGGAAAAGCTAAAAGAAAATCAACAAGGTGGGGAACCTAGAATAAGGTAGTGGTTAAGTAGTCTTTTTCCTATCTTATGAAGATAGCGATGATGTTTTCGATAGATCAAATAAAATATGACAAAATCAAATATTAAAAAAAAGAGATACACTAGTAAAACAGTCAGGTTAAACATAATTGGAAAAATAATATAGCAACAACACATACTATAATAACTGAAACAATGAAATAACAAGTACTAATAAATCGAAGAAAGACATAGTAACTGATTATTTTAATTCAGAATACATGTTATAAAATTTATTTTAATGCACCCCCTTCCTAACGTTAAATTTTCCGCTAGCTCAAATATGTTTTACTATACTCTTACATTTTCCTTAAAATTTTCGTCGCACTCAAATTAGATCTTCCAAAATACATATTACTAAAGTTCCGAAACATAACTGACGATATTTTTAAAGAATCTGAGCAACATAACTCCAATATCTTATAGATTGGGTCAATTCACAGAGGTTTTTTAGTCACTTTCAGAAAATGAAACTGACCCTATAAATGGGCTTTACTCACAATGGTTTTGTGGTCCAAAAAACATTTAAAAGCCCAAATCTAAACTATTGCCCTACCTTTAGATCTTGTTGCTTAGATAAAATTTTGCTTTGGTATATAAAAAGAAGAGTTTTGCTATTTGTCTTTTTTATTTTTTCTGATTTGGGACCAATCAATGATCCTGACACTAAAATAATTTGTCTCAAGAAAATATTTGAATTGTGAAAATAAAAATAAAAATAGAAAGTGGATGATATATTTGAAAGATTTTTTTTCTTTTCAAATTAACTTCCAATATAAATAGGGAGCAATTGACATATTAAAAAAAACTTCGAAAACAATACTTCATGATAAAATCGAGGTGAAGCCAGTCTTAAAGCTACAGATTCGATAGAATTCAATAGTTTTGAATCAAATCTATATTAAAATATTTATATGTATACATAATTTGTTTACAATCTAGTAAGCAAAACAGATTATAGTCCGGCTTTTATGGTTGCATTCTTTTGATGTATACAACAAGTACGTATAAAAAAGAAATCAAAATATAGTTGAATATTAATGTCACAATTTTTATTCGAAAACTAATATTTACGAATCAATCATCTTTGTTTGATATTATGTACGGTTAGAACTTTCTATAACAATATTATATGTTACCAAAACAAGCGCATGACTAGTTTCTTTTCTAGGCATATTGGTGCAGAAGTAGAACCAAAACCAACCAACCCCATTAATGCATAAAACATTTATAGGTAAGTTAAGTTAAAATTAATACTTTTGACCCTACCAAACTTTTAGGTATGAAAATGGTATGTCCCTTCATGTTCATCAAGGATGGATAGCATAGAATTATGGACGATAAAATTAGCTCATGAAAATATGATTTGTTCAAATTTGAGCGATTGAGATGTATATATATTCATGATCAAGAGCGGATCTAGAGGGTTGTCAGAGTGTTCATCTAGTTCAAGATTTCTTCAAGGTTTAGTGCTACACATGATTTTTTTTTGGAGGTTTACAACCATTATGTGACATAAGAGTTACTTCTCATATGAAAGTCAATAGTATATCACTTCGACTCGACTAATAGCTCGTAATGCTGCATCCCTTCCGATACCAGGACCATTTATCATGACTTATCTGCTCGTTGCATACCTTGATCCACAATTATATCAATATTTTGAAAGATGCAGGAAAGAAAAACGAAAGAAGAAATCAAAATTTGCTTTATAGGAGTGTGAGATAGGCAAATCCACCTTGTATTTTCTGCAATTTACTTCATTGGATTTTCATTTCCCTTACATCTGCAGAAACAACAGTTTTGGTTGTCTTCCTCCTTTGAACAAGTAAAAGCTTGTCTGCACAAGACCATTTGGTAAGGGGATCGGATGTAATTCAATTGTATGTTATGTGTTGCTCAGACTCTCCATAAAAGTTGTTACACTCGTGTCATATCTTCCAAAACTGCACTGCTTTTGGAGGATCCAACAGGCACTTATCGACATTTTTAAAGAGTCGGAGCAGGACATATGTTATGCAATACTCCAATTAATGAAAGGCTAAGACACAACACTAATGAGGAATCAGAAAGATTCATATTCATGCAAATGAGTCAAAAATCAAAACATAATTAAAGTTATATTAGAGCATGAAGTAGCCCTTTACAGGCAAATTGTAATGGAAATAAATGAAACAACAAATAGTACCAGAACACTAATACACCAAAATATTCATACAGTATATTCTTTGGACTCATAAAAAATGCCACCGGATGTGTGTCAGATCCTCCAAAAGTAGCGTTTTCTTGGAGGACTCAATGGAAGTGCGGCAACATCTTTAGGGAGTCCGAGCAATATAGGTCACACATGCATACAGAAACATCAACACTACATGTGGTCTCATAAACTGTGTTAGTCCCATATGCTTTTAACCTTGTCAATGTGCTTGAAATCATAAGTCATCACCAAACTTCTATCCATTCGTCTCAACACGAACCTCTCAACCAAAACATAGCAACTTAATCTTCTCCATCCGTTACTATTTTCTCTGTTCTCTTCGACTTGTTTGATCCTCCCTTGATTTTGCCATCCACCTCTCTGTTGTTCCCACTTCATTCTTTCAACTATTTCATGTCTCAATCCCAAACTTGCTACTTCATTTCCATCTTTACCATAGCTTTTAAACCATATTACTCCTTCCACGACGTTTCTATCATCCCACATTGCTTTATCAGTTCCGGCAATAAGGACAACTTGTGTGTCAAGTGCAACATCGACAAGTACTGAATTCCCTTCATTAATTTTGTCATTGTGACAAGTGAAAAACTGCTCCCATCTCTGCTCAAGTGTCATTTCGTAGAACATCGATCTCTTCATCTGTTTTTTAAGTTCTGTTCCATCTTTGATAAACACGAAAGGACAATACCAGTTCCCCACAACAACTTCAGAACTCTTATAAGATGATGCAAAATTGAACTGTGGAAGTTGTTGCCTCAACTCAGCATTAAGGCCTATAGCATCATAATTTAGTTCAATTTTTTTAGGATTTTCAGCACTGAGATGCCAACCTTTTCGCCTTAGAAAGTGTGGTGGAAAACCATCAGGTGCAAGAGACTTAGCATAAAAACTACCTCTGGCTTTGCAACATATATCATATAGACATATCTCAAACTGCTGAAGTGCCTCCTCTGGATCTAATGGCTTCGGTTTAACGTCCCGTACACATCTACAGAAACAAAAGCTTTTCTTGTCTTCCTCCTTTGAACAAGTGAATGCTTGTCTGCATAAGGCCATTTGATAATTGTAAGATTCATTATCTTTATCAGTCTAAAAAATTCAACATGTCACACTAGAAACTTGCAGCCTAAGGCAATTTTGCCAGAATCAATTTTATGTTATGCTATGTTGCTCAGACTCTACAGAAAAGTTGTTGGATCTTCCAAAACTGCATTTTGCTTTTGGAGGATTCGACAGACACCTATAGACATTTCCAAAGAGTCCGAGCAGGACAGATGTTATGCAATACTCCAATTAATAGACTAAAGCACAAATGAGTCAAAAAATCAAATAATTAACAACATATTATATTATTACCCCTTGTTCTTTCCATGAGTCTTGATAGCATAGTACTGATTAGAAGACAGTGGCTTATTAAGAACTGGAATGAACATTACACTGTTCCTGTTAACGCTCGTGCTCTGACCATTACTCATTTCGTATCGAATGGTCAGCTTCTTGTTCTGAGGGAGAGGCAAGTCCATGATTTCATAGTTTTTGCAAAGTCCAAAACAACAATATGTTTCAGATTCTGAATCTTTAATCACTAAGTAACCTGAATTTGGACCATCAGGAGGTAATGAAAGTGCCTCTGGATTCTTTTTGTAGTAAGAAAGAGACCTTGTTACATACATTTTCACCAAAAGTTTGCTAACTTTTTTCTTGAATCAAGATATTTATAAGATTGAACAACTAAGACAACATGTTGATAAGTTCCTTTTTATAAATTCAAATATCATGTCATGCTGTTTCAAAGAAGGTTGGGAGATATTTCCTAACTGAAAAATCTATTAAAATATTAGATGTATATAATGGTAGTGGTGCACACAACTCAAACTCATATTGATAAAATAAATAAAAGATCTTGGAAGTTTCAATATTTTGATATGGTTCAAGCATCAAGGAATTATGATTGTTATTTGACTAGTTCACAAGGATATAATAATAATGTGGATTCATGTTAATCGCAAGGATATAAATAAGGCAAGAAAATAGATAGCCACGTAAGAAATGATACTATAATACCTAAAAACTATACCATGAGAACTATTTTTTAGCAATATATGTATATAGAATACATCATTAGGAAAATATGGGACTCTAAACTATTGCTTTAGTGGCTTTATAGTCGAGCCAGCCCTGTGACCAATTGTTCTCGTAGAGTCTAGAGAAGCTTCAGTTTGAAATTAAACAAAGATAATAACAGTAATGTAAGCATGAGACGTCTTGGTAGTACCAGTGAACCAAATAGATGTGGTGATGAAATCTGGGATGGAGGACTTGTAGTATCTCTCTAGATTTGGCAAAAGCGAAAGACAGTCAAGCCCACTCTGGCCTGTGAGTGGGCCCCTATGGTTGCGAGCTAGAGCTTCCATAGCTTATGGCTATAGCAACGTAAGGACCTCCAACTTTGGATATGCACAAGTAGATCGTTAAACTTGTATAAGTTGAGCAAGTAGACATAGTCATCCTACTTGACAATTGGCGTGAAAGACAATATTTACAAATCAATAGTCTTTTTATAATATCACAGTCAGAACTTTCTACAACAATATATTGTATTGAATTTTCAAGGTGTAAAAATACTAGATGATAAAAATCTATTCATAAAAAAATTAATTTTGTTTCCAATAATCAGCTGGTTGAAAGGTCTTCTATATTGAATCAAATATCTTGATTAGATCACAAAGTGCTAGAAAAATTGGCCATCAACAGGATTCTTCTTCACTAAATTGGAATATATAAGACGTATACATGAGATACAATAGTATACATGTGACATACACAATATACATAATCATGTATTATTCATAGTAACTAGTAAATCTGATATTGTAACATGGAAAATAGACTGACCTACTACAACTTTTAATTCACACTGATAGAGTTTGATACATTCTTAGGGTATATAGCTTAAACCTTAAATAATAAAAACATATTTCACATAGTATGTTCTTTCGACTCTTGTAAAATGCCACCATATGTGTGTCAAATCCTTCAGAAGTAGCGTAATTTTGGAGGGACTCAATGCAAGCGCGGCAACAATGACTGTCTTACTCCCATATGCTTTTAACCTTGTCAATGTGCTTGAAATCATAAGTCATCACCAAACTTCTATCCATTCTTCTCAGCACAAACCTCTCAACCAAAACATAGCAACTAAATCTTCTCCATCCGCTACTATTTTCTCTGTTTTCTTCAACTTGTTTGATCCTCCCTTGATTTTGCCATCCACCTCTCTGTTGTTCCCACTTCATTCTTTCAACTATTTCACGTCTCAATCCCAAACTTGATACTTCATTTCCATCTTTACCATAGCTTTTAAACCATATTACTCCTTCCACGACGTTTCTATCATCCCATGTTGCTTTATTAGTTCCGGCTATAAGGACAACTTCTGTGTCAAGTGCAACATCCACAAGTACTGAATTCCCTTCGTTAAGTTTGTCATTTTGACAAGTGAAGAACTGTTCCCATCTCTGCTCAAGTGTCATTTCATAGAAAATAGATCTCTTCATCTGTTCTTTAAGTTCTGTTCCATCTTTGATAAACGCAAAAGGACAATACCATTTCCCCACGACAACAACTTCAGAACTTTTACAAGATGATGTGAAATTGAACTGTGGAAGTTGTTGCCTCAACTCAGGATTGAGGCCTAGAGCATCATCATTTAGTTCATAATTTTTAGGAGTTTCGGCACTGAGATGCCAACCTTTTCGCCTTAGAAAGTATGGTGGAAAACCATCAGGAGCAAGAGACTTGGCAAAAAAGTTACCTTTGGCATTGCAACCTGTATCATATAGACATATCTCAAACTGCTGATATGCCTCCTCTGGATCTAATGGCTTCGGCTTAACGTCCTGTATACATCTGCAGAAACAGCAGGTTTGCTTGTCTTCCTCAGTTGAACAAGTAAATGCTTGTCTGCAAAAAGACATTCAGAAATTGTAAGATCCATTACTTTGGCCGGTCTAAAAATTCTAATAAAGGGGATTCAAAAAAAATTCAAGGATTGAAACTTGAAGCTTAAAACAATTTTACTATATAGTTTTATATTATACTACAGTACAATTTTCTGATGAAAAGGATATGATTCAACTCTTTGGACCTTGGTTTATCAAGACGAAATACACCAGACAAGAATTTTGCCAGAATCAATAGTCCAATTAATGAGAATAGATAGAGTCATGATCCATTCCAAAATATTGTAAAGGCAAATGGACTCTTTTCGGATGTTCACCCTTTTGTAACAAATAGATCCTCACCTCTCATTTAACTCACGAATTCGTCAACTTTTCAATTAAAAAATCGAATCACATAATTAACCTATCATATCATACAAGATCAAAAGTGCAAATAAAATAATGATATACCCTTTGCGCTTTCCATGACGCTTGATAGCATAATACTGATTGGAAGACAATGGCTTATTAAGAACTGGAATGAACATTACTCTGTCCCTTCTAACGCTCCTGTTCTCACCAGAACCTGATTCGTATCGAACAGTCAGCTTCTTGTTCTGAGGGATAGGCATGTCCATGATATCATAATTTTTGCAAAGTCCAAAACAACAATATGTTTCAGATTCCTCATCTTGAATCACTAAGTAACCTGAATTTGGACCTTCAGGAGGTAATGAAAGTGCATCTGGATTCCTTTGGTAGTAAGAAAGAGGCCTTGTTACATACATTTTCAGCAAATAAATTTCGACTTTGTTTAATTTCTGTCCATATATTTTCTTTTGATATGTACATGAAGAAAAGTCAAATTTAATGAGATTATTCAACTAAGGCAACTCTTATTGGGCAAAGAAACCAGCTGGCAAGCTAATATGTTGATAAGTTCCTTTTTTTTTAGTCTTGGGATGACTTTTCAACATTGCTTTTGAAGGTTTTAATCAAAGAATATTTACTGCAGCAGAACAATTTTTTATTTAAATATCCTGTCATGCTGTTACTAAGAAGGTTGGGAGAAATTTCCTAAATGAAAATTTTATTAGAATATTGTACATATTAGTGGTGTAGTAAGTAAATGTAATACCTACTCAGAAACATGACAAGATATTACTATTATAATTTGACTAGAACAAAAAATTATTCTTTTCACCCTTGACTATAAGATCTCAATTATTATCCTTCAACACAAGCAATGTTGTGGACACTTAGAACCTATGTGGTTTGCTGCAGAAAGTCAACCTAAGGCTAACAGAAAGCAAAAAAACCTTATTGTTGTTTTGGATATTGCAAAAATCATTGGAACCAGAAAAGGGTATTCGAAGCTCACTAACAAATGTTCTTGATCCTTTTCATAAAACTGATGATTCCGTTAAGACCAAAGTAACAAGTATAACTAGCAACTGATAGTTATTACATTATCTCATTCATACTGATCTAGCATAGGAGGCGAGATCCATAGGAAGACCAAATGTAAGGTATTATTGGCGGAAATGAATCACCTTCACATTCAAACTGATAAATCATCAAAGCTTAAGACGGTAGAAGTAATATTCACTTCAATGGCAAACATGAAAGACATAAATACCTGCCTAAGAAAATGTCACCAGTTCCATCATCCTTCTTCTAGTTAATACTCCTTTCTCCGACTTGAGATTAATGTAGGATGGCTTATACTAGATGTACAGTTTACAAATCAACAAGTAGCCTACAATATCTATGAAGGACAGATGCAGAGCAATTTAATCGGTATAAAAAGCAGTGTACTGCATATATCACTGTACTTTCACAAACTACGTCACTGAAAGGAAGCTAGAGTATAAACTTTTGTTTCTCCAGAGTGATAGTGCAGGTTAATTTAACATCTACAGTTGGATTATTCGTATGGGTGACACTACTACAAAGATTAATGTTGAGAAAACATACTTTTATCAGTTTCTTCCAAAACTTCTTCATCCCTTGAATGGAAATTTGTCTTCCCTTTCTTGATAGAGACTGCAAACAACTGCCTGAACAAAAAAGCAAAATTGAAGATGACCTCAATATGTACAAACTTTATGCTTATATTATAGTCCCACCAGGTGAGAGAAACTGCAAAGATTTTACATGTTCTCAGCCAGATGAAACCATGCTCTTCTTATAAAAGTAAGTGTCCAATCATGAAACAAATGTCTACGGGCAGATGAAGTGAGCAAAAGAACCTAACTAGTCATTGTAACCAAACAAGTAACAAGATAGTTCTACGGGCAGATGAAGTGAGCAAATGAACCTAACTAGTCTTCGTAACCAAACAAGCAACAAGATAGTTAATTCAAGTTTCCCACTCAACCAGTGAATGATCCACTTTCAGAATACAGCAGACAATGAGAGACTTCATACAATTCAACATGGTATCAAAGCAAAGAAGAGATCATGGTTAAGTTTCATTTCCATCCACCAACAAAAATACACTCTAATCCAATTCAGCCAAATTGTAAACATTAGCTTTAACAAGTTCAAAGGAACAGTACAATTCTATGTAAAAGAACAAAATTTCTTGAAGGAATACTACAATCTGATGGCACAAATACTGCCGATAATCGACAGGCAACAATAAGTAATGATCATCTCCTTCCAGCAATCTTGAGCAGAGGAGTCACAATGCCCTGTATCTGTAGCAATGTCTGCTGTAATCGTATTTCCTCCTCCACATCTCGTTTAAGATTTCTAATGTCACC